TGTGTGTCTTATCAATGGAAATAATTAGCTGTGTGTCATTTATAAGGGCAATGATTTAACTGTGTGTCTTATCAAAGGCAATGCTTACCTGTGCGTCTTATCAATGGCAACATTTAACTGTGTCTTATATAATGGCAATGATTGGCCATGTGTCTTATCCATGTCAACGATTTAACTGTGTGTCTTTTCAATGGCAAAATTTAGCTGTGTGTCTCATCAATGGCAATGTTTAACTGTGTGTCTTAGATAATGAAAATGATTTAACTGCGTGTCTTTTCAATGGCAATGTTTAGCTGTGTGTCTTATCAAAAAATTTGCGCACCAGATTGTTGAACATTTCCTTACCTTTAAGTTTTCTTTCTCCCTGATCAGTCTGCAGACTGCGTTTATTAAACGATCCCGCCTCTCACCTTCTGCATATTCAAAGCCGAAGAAGCAGACTCCCAGCTTTGTGAGCTTTGCGTCATGCAAAACTTCAACGAACTTCGTGAATTCTTTGACGACTTCAGTTAGAACGCGGCCAAACCTACTTGGGTGGAAAGAGATGCCCAAATCCTGCAGATAGTTTGGAAATCTTTTGGCGAATCTGATGGCGCACTTTCCTAATTGGAATTGAATGGAAGATGTCTGTCACTTTGAGATCGCGCGATTCTGTTATGTGTTTGTCTTGATGATATTGAGTGAGGGGTCATGTTTTTTTTAAACTTTAGTTTTGACCATAGTGAATACCACGATTTCTCTCAGCCAAGTATGACAGTGTTGATGTGTCGGGAAAAAAAAACAGCACGTGAGGAAAAGAATGTGTGAAATGAAAGTAGTGGTAAGTAGACAGTCACGAGTGCTGTTGATATAGCGTACTAATGTATTGCTGTGGATGTAGGAGTAGGAGTGAGCTGTTAGGGTGGATATAAGTATTTGTGGTTTTTCATGCATTTTCAGCATACATGCATATGAAGGATTAAATAAATGAATATGATCTGTTTCACTGATTTGTGTTATTTGATTCTTACAATACATCAGCTCTGCAGGAGCTGGAAGGAAAGGAGGTTTTGACTAGGACATATGTTCTGTGGCGATAACGCAGGGGACATAACCTTTTGAATAACGTACCATTCGTCACAGAGTCATTGGAATACAAAAAAAACAGCACAAGACTCTGATGACGAGGTTAAGGACAATGATGACGAGGGTAAGGACAATGATGACGAGGGTAAGGACAACGATGACGAGGGTAAGGACAATGATGGACTTAAAGGGATATCGAATCTGATGGTGCACTTTCCTAATGTGGAATGAAGTCAACCAGCTTTGTTTTGGGGTATGGACAATGGTCGAAAAAGGTGCTGACCCAAACATCCTTATTATTGCCATTAAAGTTAAAAAATTATAATTGTTACTGCAGTTATAGTTTAAAAAATTAGGATTATTGGACAAGCCAAGCATCCATATTAATGAAGTTATATTTAAACAATTAGGATTGTTGGACCAGCCGAACATCATTATCGAGGGGCCGAATGAATATCTACACCGAGCAATATGTTTGGGTGGCCGAGCGATCTGAACCTATTCAATGGTCTGGAGTTCAATCCCAACCTAAGCCTAGACAAAGCAAAAAATATCCCCGGCACCATAGTGTATGTCAACTAATCGAAGAGAAATCAAACTCTGAACTCAAACAAGGAGCCAGAATAACCAATAAATTGATTGTGGGCCCCCAAAACTATCACTTAGCTTAAACAAAGGCTCCGTTCCACTACCAGGCGTAAAGACAATGGGACCTTAACACTGCTTCCTATTGTACCGCTATGTTATTTGTTAGTTGTTACAGTGTGTTATTTGTAAAGAAAGGTTATTTGCACCATCATTTAAGTTGTACCAGTACGTTTGTTGTACCTGGTATCCGTATGTTCGCTGTACCAGTACGTTAGTTGTACAAAGTACGTTAGTTGTATCAGTATGTAAGTCTACCAGTATATAGCAGCTATGTTACTGTACCGCTAGAGTCTGGAACTCCTGTAGCAAAATGAATTTCATCTCTTGCAATTGTCTGCTTGCCTCTGCGTCCACTGAATTCAATACTCCTCGACCTCCACAGCGTTGGGTAATTGAAGCCTTGTTCCCACGGTTTACACACCTAAGCAAGGAAGAGAAAAATTGATTTTGGAAGGGCGTCATGAAAAATTTACAGCAGTGCAAGGTGTTTACCTCAGCCATGTTAAAGATCAGGTAGTGCACAATTCAGGTAGACCATAATTCGTTATGAACAACTTGTGCGGGCCGAAAGAAAATATGATAATTGGGAACGCTATTAAGGCAATAATAATAATAAAACATATTTCGTGTTTGTATATATCGTTTCCAGGAAAGAAAACAAAATATTTAAACAACGATAAATATTTAGTAACGTTATTTGCTTTAATTTAAAAAAAAAACAACAACCAGTCATTCCAAGTATGCGTGGGGAAAATAAAAAAAAAAAATATATATGTATTAATTATTTAAATGTGAATTAAATAGTTAAAATATTTTTCTGTATGTATAACTTTCGTTATGTCATAAATCAGTAAGCTAGGGAATATTATTTTTAATCTATAATATTAATAATTTTCGCCGAAGTCTTCGCGGGCCGCAAGTGGGTGCTGGCAGGCCGTATGCTGTTTTGTGAATAACTATTAACTCACTGGTCGACAGAATAGCATAAACATACAAACACACAAATGACAGATCGCCTGAGATATACCTTGAAATTATGACATTTTCTGGGAAACAGCAACCTAATAAATATCCAGCAATCAACTCTTTTCTTCATTGATTTATCTATAAATTTACTCAATATTTATTAAGATTATTCACACTCAAACTCTCATTCATCCACTCATCCATCAACTAGCCGATCCAGTAATACTAGTTTATATTCTGTTCGGTATGTGCTGACACTCTCTCTCTAATATCCTGACACACTGGCTGAAAGCCCCATCTCCTCGGCTTGACCACATGTTTTGTTTATAATGTTTGGCTGGCCTGCCACCCTGGCTTTCACAATTGTGAAATGCAGGACAGGAAAGTAAAACGATTACCCTACAACTGTTTCTGTGGGTTATTGTGCAATCCCTGCAGTTTTGATCTTTTTTGTGGTATTCTAGCCTTTTGTGAGGTAGAGCTTAGTAAAGTGCATATTTGATTTACTCGGCTGTGGTCTTGGCTTTCTTTTAAATTTCGCGCAACGATCAAACTTGCAGGGGAGGGTGAGTTTAGAGTGAATACATCTTGTCGCCGTTGCACCATTAACGTTAACTTTACTATTGTGTTCTAATATGGTCCTCAAACTATATTTTCAATTTCGAAAATGATGACTTGTTTTCTTGGTTGTTGCTTGACAGCCCTGGTTGTTAAAAATATTTTTTATGCTCGTTAATTGCACACATAAATCACTTCAAATGTAACCCATTGCAAATAACAATAAGTTCTTTTGTAACCCAGTGCATCGTTTCTTTTCTACTCTTCTTTTTTATGTTGCCAACGTGATTTATAATGGTGTCAATTAAGAGAGTGCGTCTCATTCACATTTGCATGCATGGTCTCAACAACTAGTTCCATAAATACCTACTACTGCAGACCAATTTGCAACTTTTTCACTGTCATGTGGATGGCCTCAACCCAATGGTGAAATTTGACTCAGTAGTCATACATGGTCCCAAAACTATTAGTTCAACCATAGCCACGTAATGATCTCTTATGGCAGGTAGAGAAGACCAACTTATCTATCGATTCATTTATTTACGCTACCAGCAATAGTACACCAAGTTGTTTATTATCTCGTTGAATTAAATTACATGGGTTTTAGCCAAATTGTTAAATAAAATTCATTACCCTTGCCATTGAAACTCTGTCCACATCACCCAAGTACTTGTAGATGCCAGTTACAACAGTGGCGGGGAGTTGGCTCCACGATGAAAATTCCGATTTATTAGACTTCTGGTTGTCCTGCCCTTCTGTTGACGGCGTCAGTGTTTTTGATGTGCGTATTCTTTTACGTTGACTTTCCACGTTATTCATATTCTATTACGTCTTCAGTATTCTACTCAAGATTGTCTGGATCAATTTAATTGGAGGTATTTTAAATTATTTTTAAAAATGTTAATAAATAAAACTAATAAAAGAAAACACATTTGCTTTTTTAAAGAAAGTTTAATGCAGTGGCATAATTTTAAGAACGATAGTGCTAAATTGTGTTAAAATTGAACTCAGTTTTGGAAATTCCCAACAAACTTGCAAAATAAATAATTAAAAACAAATCCTTGTAGAAACATCAAGACTCCGAAATTTCAATGCCTTTATTTTTTTTTTCGATTTTTTTTTACACATCTTTTTTTTTTTTTTTTAAAATAAAAAAAAAATAAAAAAAAACAAAAATAAAAGAAAGAAAATTACAAAAAAAAAAAAATTTTTTTTTTTGATTTTTTTTTTACACATCTTTTTTTTTTGATTTTAAAATCGACAAAGTATTAACAAGAACCATACTGGAAGGCTGAACTTTCCAAAAAAAAAAAAGTAATGAAATAACTGTTTGCTAAGCGAATACCATTATAAAAAAAAATTGGGTATGGAAAAAGTAACTCTAGATTTGGGTATGAACAAAGTAAAATTTTCTAGATGTCATGTACTGATTAAAAGTTTTATTGTTTGCTAATTAAAAGAAAGTAAAAAGAAATAAAAACAAAATAAAAAAATACAAAGAAAATGTAGGATTTTTAAAAATGTTTTATTACATTCATTAACAATTTCTAAGTTATAACCAGAAGGTATTTATTATCTTGTACACGTTAATATTAATTAAATATTTCCCTTTTAAGTTTTTTAATGTTTATTATTTAAAAAAAAAAGGTTTTCAACAGATGTAAATTTAATTTTTAATTTCATTGTTTGAAAAAGTTTTTAAGCTAACATAAGATGTAAGTTGTTTTTTTCTTAAAATTAAAAGATTAAATTTTCTTTTAAACGCGTGTTGTTTTGGCTCTCATCAATATTTGATGAAAAGACTTGATTTTTGAAAGTGTTGTATTTTATGCACTTTTTAAAATTGTCTTTTATAATATTTTGTTTTGTATAACTTATCAAATACACGTTTCGCTTCTCTGTTACTACTGAAATGATACGTTTCGTCACCGTTAGGTCAGCCAAAATTGCACGTACGTTGGCAAGATACATGTGTTTTTGTTAGCGATGTTGGGGGAAACGTTAGGTGGCCTTTTCATTTGAGGCGGACCCGATGATGCTCTGGAGCCTTCTCATGAGAGCGTCCAAAATTTTGAAAAATGCCTGGACTCCTTAAAGCTCAATGGCGGCCTGAAAAATTGAATCGAATGCAGTTATACAGTCTTTTATTTTAAAGGTTCGTACATACTTCCGTAAGAATTTATTTATTATTTTGGATACTTTGATCTTTAAAATAATAACATATAAGATTTAACAAATGATAATGATGTGGCGTTAGAAGTGGAATTGTATGGTTCAAACTAAAATTATACGCAAAATAATATTTATATAATACGATCGACTAAAATAAATACATATTAAAAATAAAAATAAAATACAAAATTATTTAAAAAGAGAGTGAGCTACGGAGATTGAAAATATGCTGGTCACATGGAACAATCACCCCAAGATATGGCTCACTGCATGCTACAAGCGAAGAAACCCCGACAGCGAGTCAAGTATTTCCCGTTCAATATAGTAATCACGGACCCTGTCAGTCTCATGTACGGACCCTGTCAGTCTCATGTACGGATCCTGTCAGTCTCATGTAGTTTTTCACTTACGAAATTGTTGTAATTAAAAAAAAAACTCAACAATATTTTATGGAGCTTTCTGGCTTTTCCCATTAAATTCGATACCCATGCGAGGAATGGCGTCTCTCTGCACGCTTGGATATAGGTTGGTGTTTCGTGATTTGCGTAGTATTGCTCACTGTGAGCAGATATCTCTTCTAATGAGATATACACATACTAACTGACTTACAGTTTGCTGCAGTTAGACAGAATGCTCAGCAGTGCAACAGTGTCAATATTTTCAAACTCCCCGTAAATCTCCACTTCAATAGATGTGATTGTTCTATGGTAGATGGCCACACGATGAAGTAAACTGGTCAGCTGATGGAAACATATAAAACATTTACCTGCTGTATATTATTTTGCACACTCGCCAAAGGTCGGAAGAAAAAGTCATAAGCAGATTTAAGGTGTTTGTTTGCTGTAGTTGTAATCACATCATAATAATTATTATTTATACTAAATGATCAAATAAGTTAAATTAGTTTATTATGGTAAATTATCAACCTCTATCAGCACTTTTTGCAACACGATGGCAATTTAATGACAATTCTAATTACACAGTTGTTTTTAAAAAAAAATTAAATAGTTTCTATTTGTTTAGCACTTGTAGTCAAACTGCCTTGGCTGTCGATCAGGGATTTCCCGTCGTTTCCGGAAAAGGCCGGCCAATGTATTGTATACTCTGGTTATTTCTAGTACATCGAATATGGGGCACACGCCTCTGCCCAAATGGGAATTTGCCGGCCAATTCAGGAACTGGCCGACATATATTTTGTATAACATTACTTTTATGCACAAATTTCTCATTAGTGTTAAAGGACTTGTAGTCCATTGTTTCATCTGGGCTGCACGGTCTATCTAGAGACATCATCAAGTCTGATCCTGGAAAGATGGTTGCGGCTACACTTTTCGCAGGAAAACTGTGACCCCTTTTAATATTTGGTCTTCTGTGTTCCTCTTTTTGCCGCTTGTCTTCTGCCTGTTTGTCTCCTTTACACACGACTTTTATACTACTTTCCACACGGCTGTTATACTCCTTTACACAGGGCTGTTGTGCTCCTTTGCTCAATGCTGTTTGACATTTATAAGAAAGGATGTACGGCAAGTGAAACAATCTCACCCACTGTGCCCCCCCCCCCTTTTTTAAGCCATTATTTTAAACAAAACGAAAATGACAGCAAGTTCGTAAAAAAACAGAAATCCAAAAAAAAAAATCAATTAATATCAAGGTAAATAATTATAGCTCCTTTGCTCAATGCTGTTTGACATTTATAAGAAAGGATGTACGGCAAGTGAAACAATCTCACCCACTGTGCCCCCCCCCCTTTTTTAAGCCATTATTTTAAACAAAACGAAAATGACAGCAAGTTCGTAAAAAAACAGAAATCCAATAAAATAAATCAATTAATGTCAAGGTAAATAATTATTAGCTAGGTGTGTCATTGAATCGCTAACAGCTTGCCTTGTCAAGATCATGTTGTGGCTACTGGGGTTTTCATTTGAATAACATAATTAGCTTAAGGTTAGTAATAGAGAATCGATTGATATATATATTCCTATAAAGAATAGAACATTCTATTTGTTCTTGAAGATGTCAGAAGAGTAATACGTTATCTCGGTCTAAACAATAATAGAACGCTGCGAGGATTTGGACATTTTCACAAAAAAACCTTGTCTGTCCTGCTAAACTGTTTATTAACTTATCTCTTTGCAACTTATTATCTATTTTCTCAAACGTTATTTACAACAGCTATAGACGTTTCCGTGTTACCTGATTGCTTTTTTTTTACACCACATAACTTAATCATTTAAACCAAACATGTGCATCAACGCCAAATCTGAATGAAAAAAGTTGTTACCAAACGGGGAGAGATTAAAAAAAAGTTCTGCTTCTTTCAATTTGAAACGCACATAAGAATCTTTCGCTACGTTAAAACTGACTCAAATTAATTTATAGTCAAACATATTTAAAGTTAATACTAACATCTCTTGTGCTTAAATGTATATTAAAAAATAAAATAAAATAAGGTAAGTCCTTATTAGGCTAGCTCCTACCTCAAACTCCGAATGTAAGCGATATACCGCATGCAACCGTAACTTGTACAGGGGTATGGCCGGTGATAAGAGGGGCAGTGTTATCGTGTCTAGGTTGATTTCGACGTGGAACTGAACCAGCAGCCGTGGGTGCGTCCAGACCAAAGCCTGCCACGCCTCATTGCTTATTGCATGACCTGATAGAGATCAGGGTATAAATAGTACCTTGTTACGAATAGATAAAATAGGACCTTGTTAAAATGAATTTAATAGGAAATTGTTAGTAATGGATGTAATAAAAATGTGTTAATGATTTCCGAATTGAACGAAAAAGACAATGATTTTTTTTGAGCACCTGAGCTTTGTGAAAAATTTTCATAAATAACGGATTTACAAAAAAACCTTGACTTGTATTCAAAACAGGTCGTTGTTATGGCATCCGGTTAAACAATGGAGGTTGAGAGGAAGGCTTCCGTTCTGTTTTGTCACATACTATTTTGGCGTAGATGTTGTTTTCTCTGCCATTAATTTTTAAGTAGTTTTTTTTGGGGTGGCACACACAAAGTAATAATTTAGATTTAAATAATCCACACAACTTCACGTGTTGAAGAATATATTGAAAAATTGTTGCAGTACTGGATAAGAACTCTTCTGTTACTCTATCAATTAACTGAAGCTAACTGTTCGCTATCTCCATGTGTCTCTTAAGAATATGTGTCAATATATCCTTAATCCCACACTTCACAGCAATACTGTCAATTTATCCTTATACAACTCTCTTCACTGTACTGCCAATACATCCCACTTCACCCACTACAACTATACTATCAATATCTACCACTTTTATTAGACTGTCTTGTGTTAAATGTCTTTATTCAACTCTTTCGACTCAGATTACCTCGACTTGTCCACGAAACCTTGATTCTAATTACTATTGAATCACTACATCTCTAAAGCAAACCTTGAATTCCAAGACTATTGTATTGCTACATCTATATACAAAACATTGGCTCCCATGACTATTGTATTGCTACATCTATATACAAAACACTGACTCCCACGACTCATGAAGTGCTACATCTCTAAATACAGCATTGACTCCCATTACTATTAAATTTATTATCTCAAAAGACAACATTTACTCCCAAGACTCAAAAATTGCTACATCACTAAAGACAACATTGACACTCATTACTATTGAATTTCTTATTTCAAAAGACACCATTGATTCCCATGACTCATGCTATATCTCTAAAGACAATATTGACGCCCAGTATTATTGAATAGCTACATCTCCAAAGAAAACATTTAAACAACCAGTTCGTTTACGCCATAATGTCTATTTCCTGTCTTTGACCACTTTAAAAGCAAATGTCAAGACTTAGGTTCTCTACAAATGAATCTAAAACTACACTGCGACCACATAAAAATTGATTAGTTACCACAATATATATTCCTTGTCTCATTTACGATACACCTTAAAACATAGACTACTTGTTGTTCTACACTACAAATTACTCTATCTCATTCATGATACAATTTAAAACACATACTTCTTGTTGTACAGCAAAACACAATGCTGTATCGCATTTATGATATACATTAAAACACAGAGAACTGAATGTCCTTCAAAACACATTGCTGTAACTTATTCATGATACACATTTAAAGACAGTCTAATGGACATTCCATTCTGTCTCCGCCGTCAAAACATAAATTCCACCGATCGGTATCGACTTTCCATCAACTATTGTATTTTGATCCCGCACCTAAGTTCATAGTCTCCCCTCTCATCCCTGGTTATTCCTACAACTAAAGGCTGCGTGGCTTGGCTGTTAAACGGTCCGTAAATTTTAAGGACAGTCCGCAAAAAATCTAAACTATTATGACTTGTTATGTCTTAAAGTTTGTGATTTTTCCATGCTTAAAAATTTTAACTTTAATTATCATTACTTAAAAATTGCCTCAAGGCTTATGAAGATACGAAATAAAGACATTTATTTGATGACACATATTCGCAAGGTCGGTTTATTCGGATATTTCAATCGTTTTTTCCCATCTTAATTTTTAAATAATTTATTTAATTCACGTTTTCCGTTTACCTACTGTCTGTGGCTAGAAATGTGGAGACTTAGAATATTTCTCCATACTTTTATTGTTAGTTTAAAACAATAGTTTCCATAAATATGCAGACCCAAAAGGAACATAAGTAATTCAATAAAATCGTCTGGTTGTAGCAACACAATCAAAATTATCACATATAAACTAATTCACTGTGTAACTTTAAGTCAATAATAAATCAACACTACTATTCATAAGAGACTTGAGTTATAATAAACACATCAAGTTTCTGCGTGAGAAGCACGAGCTTGTCTAAAAGATAGTAAAACACTTTTGACGTCATTATTCGAATATGCACGGTTTTAATACGCAGAAAGAAATGAAAACTGACATGCTTACTTTCTGAGAATGCCCAAAGTCTCATGGAGGAAAGGGATGGACATCCCTTGGACCACAGTGTGACCAGTTCATCCGATAAAATTGAGTAGTCCACGCAAATACTAGAAAGATTCTTGAATTTCTGAATTGGTTTTAGCAAAAAAAAATAATTCACGGCCTGAAGACAATCTAAACATAACAACATCAATTTATTGGCCAACAGGGAAATGTTGTGTGGGTCATCTTTTAATTTAATTTAGAGAAGCAGCGTGCTCGATAACGAGCTAACAATGATAATTTTATTACTGAGGACATCTTGAGTCTTTTATGTAACAAAATAAAAAAAAAAATTATGGTATTTAAATTTAAAATTTGCGTTAGAGTTATATAGTTGTATCCCACATTAAATAACACATATATGGCTGAATTCTATACTCGTCCTCGTGTTATCTGGTAAAGATAGATAAACAACATCAGTAAAGTTGAATATGCTTATTTAAAGTGACTGGGCAATCACCTGCAATTCTGTGAAAACATCTTCTTCCCGGTAAACTGCGAGATCTGCATTAAATAATGTGAATAGAAAAAGGGTTTCTAGAGATTTTCCAGAGGCCTCAGCTAAACATTTTAGGAGTCTTATACCAGTGTGGAGATCAAAGTAAGCCAAAGAGATTTCAAATTTCTAGAAATAAAAAAAAAGTAAACATAATGTTAGCTAGGGCTCAAGGAAAGAATATGAATAAAAAAATAAAATAATAGATACGTCCGTCCGTCCGTCCGTCCGTCCGTCCATCCGTCCATCCGTCCATCCATCCATCCGTCCATCCGTCCATCCGTCCATCCGTCCATCCGTCCGTCCATCCATCCATCCGTCCATCCGTCCATCCGTCCATCCGTCCATCCATCCATCCATCCGTCCGTCCCTCCGTCCGTCCATCCGTCCCTCCGTCCATCCGTCCAGATCGGACTAGCACGTCCATCCGTCCATCCGTCCATCCATCCATCCGTCCGTCCATCCATCCATCCGTCCATCCGTCCATCCGTCCATCCGTCCATCCATCCATCCATCCGTCCGTCCGTCCGTCCGTCCATCCGTCCATTCGTCCATCCGTCCATCCATCCATCCATCCATCCATCCATCCATCCATCCGCCGTCCGTCCATCCGTCCATTCGTCCATCCATCCATCCATCCATCCATCCATCCATCCATCTATCCATCCATCCATTTATCAGGCTGAGTTTAGACGTGGCTTGGGCGCCGAGTTCCCGAACGTGGTTATGAAGTTGGAGTTTTCGGTCCAACTTCACTCCCAAATACGTGGATGATATGTCCCATTTGAGACATTTTCCCGCAGATTTGGAGATCAATTTTCTCTTTAAGAGCATTCTTTCCATTGGTAAACAACGAGAACACAGTCTTCTCCACATTCACCATCAATCTCCTTTTCCGAGCGTGATCCTTTAACTTGGTGAGATTTATTTATTTATTTAGGCATTTTTATATAGCGCTTACCATAAAGCTCTAAGCGCTTTACAATTATAAAAACATGTAAACTAAGTAAAATAAAAATGAGACACTAGAATAGTAACTACTATACTATAGAAACAATGAAAATGGCTATAAAACGAGGACACTTTGACACGTTTTGGCCTATACTTCAGGATCAACCCGAAACAGAAAATGAGGCAGGGCAAGGAGGGTGCATCACAGGTCATAGGCGGACCTAAACAGATGAGTTTTAAGGGACTTTTTGAAAATGGACGAGGGGAGCTGGTTCCAGAACGTGGGCCCTTGGAAGCAGAAGGATTTGCTGGATGGATTCGCCCGAGCTCCAGATTGACAAATCATCTGCAAACATTGATTTCCTTGTTACCAACTGTGACTGCAGGTCATAAGTGCACGCAAGGAACAGGGTGCAGCTCAAGGCCGAACCCTGTGGGAGTCCATCCTCGAGTGGACACATGTTCGAAACTTTGTCCCTTACACGCGAGGATATCGTACGATTTGATAGAACGAATTAATCCACCTGTACATATTGGCTTTTACACCGAGCAAGTGTAACCTGTACAGCAGACCTGCCCTCGAGACTCGGTCGTAAGTGTTCTGGAGGTCAAAGAACACCGTGACAGAATGATTTCACATTTGAAGCTCAATGGTGGTGCTTTGGATAAACTGAATTACATTGTACATTGGCTGCCTACCCTTGCGAAAGCTGCCTTGTTAGTTGGAATGCTCTTGGTACGTTCCAAGAACCAATATAATCTCGCGTTCACCATTCGCTCCGCTACTTTTCCGACACACGATGTCAGTGAAATTGGCCGATAGCTAGACGGTTGGCACTTGGTTTGCCCTCTTTGGGAATTGGGACAATCACCGCTTTCTGCCACGACTTTGGCAAGGCGCCTTTCGTCCAGGTTTTATTTATAAAGTAAGTGATGTTTTTTCCGGCCTTGACCAATCGCTTGAGGATTTCATTGCAGACTCTATCGGGGCCTGGAGCTTTACCTGTTTTGAACTTTCCCAGTGCTGTTTGCAACTCGGCTACTCTAAAAGATGCCGTGAAAAACTCTGGTGTGGTCGCACTCTTTGGGCTCTGCTTCTAGCCTTACGGAGTTTCTTGATGGCCCGGCTTTCGTCAGTGTCTCTGGCACTTATGCTGACTGGAGCAAAATGTCTATTAAGCGCGTTGGCGCTTAGCTTCCCGATACCAGAGAGATTATCTAGTAATCGCCAGATCTTACTTCTGCCCGCAAGGCTGAGGTTTTCACACGTGTTAACCCCCGTGGACTGTTTTTGTTTTTGGACTTTGGCACGAACTTAGGCTGCAAGGGAGTTATACACTGATTAAGCTGCAGGTGTTTTCTTCGTGGCAGCCTTCCTACGTGCCTCTGGTCTTCTCTCTACTAGCGCATTCAGAGTTTTATTCCAAAACGGTATGAAGGGTTTTCTTCAATTTGTTCTCGGAATTGCTCGCTTTGCCACTTTGAGTATCTTGCTTATGAGGATCTCATACTCCATGTTTAGGTCTATTGGTTCTGCGGCATATGTCTCTGCCAGCTTGGCTTCGATCTCTGTTTCGTACTGCGCAGAGTTCGCTTTTCGAAACTGCCAATGCCTCTTCCGGAGGCGTGCCTTGGTGGTAGCTAACACAATTCAGTGGATGATCGGCTTATGGTCACTTCCAGTCTCATCTACCAGACTGAGCTTGGACTCAAGGTCCGTTGAGATTATCGTCAGATGTGGCCGGTACTCCGTACCGTTGCCGGTATGCAATAAAAAAAAATAATAATAATAAAGCTTATTTGAAATTCACGATTCATCCCAAAAGACTCGAAGCGCGGCACAAAGTCATCCTTATTAAAAAAGAAATGAAAAACATTTTTTCACCACATTAAAATACAAAACGCAACATTACAAAAACTACATACGAGAATACCCATTCTAAGTCTTTCAGCCCTTGCAACCATAAACAATACTGGACACTTTACATCTACTAGATAATAGTTAGCTGCAAAAGATGGTTGAAAAAGTCATCCCACTATTTTCGTCTTGCAACCGGACAAGGTTTGTAGTGAGACATAGAGTCTCCACGTAACGTCCAGAAGCGTTGCGGTCAACATAGCCCCAGTCCGGTGACTGGGCGTTAAAGTCCCTAACTGTAATTTTTGTCTGGAAAATTAGGCTATCACCGATGGGTAGACTGATTTTATTGCGGAGCGTATTGTAGAAATGAGTGATATTGAAGAACTGGTCGTTCTTGAACAACCTGATGGTGAGGTGTCAGTGCCTTGGCAATACTTCACCTCAAGCAGTTCCATCGTAAGGTCGTTTTTAGCTACTGTGCATAGCCCTCTACATTGTTTGCACTTACAATGGTACAGGGAGTAACCCGTGATGTAAAAAGCCTTACATTTAGTAGCGCCTTTTGGAAGAAGGCTACGTCCACGTTACACTAGTGGAATATCTTGGTAATCTCCCCTCCCTTTTGGTCGATGCCACAGGAATTTAATTGAATGAATGAGAGGTAAGGGGGGGGGGCGGACGATATTTTGGGCCACGCATGCCAGATTCAGAAGCTACGTCCCTCCCCAACCTGTCCTCCGACATTGACAAAAGAGAATTATGCACGTCCAACCCAATGGCAGTAATATTATCCCCCCCCCCCGCTAGCCCGTCCCCGGACATCAACGAAGAAGGCAGCGACTGAGGTGCAAGCTCCATGTTTTAAATCTAAAATGTGCCGTAAAAACCTCTGGGGTGGGCGCACTCGTTAAGCTCTGCTTCCAGCCCTACGGAGTTTCTTGATGGCCCGGCTTTCGTCAGTGTCGAACTTGAATTGTGAGACTGGGAAGAACGCTTCCCCCCCCCCCCGCCCCCTTGAGATACTATCTTTGAGTTGTCAGCCCCTTTTCCAAGGGCTCTTTCGGTCAGGGCATTTGGCGTTGGCCCGGGTTTTTTTAGTTTCAGGTGTTCGAGTCCACCTTACTCGTCTGCCTCGACACGAAGAGGCAAACCACTTGTGGGCGTTACCAGATCACGCTGGTGGCCGTCCTCTTGCGTGGACAGCCCCGATCCTAATCAATGGTAATATTTAGTTAGGTGTAGGTCTTAAAAAAAAAAAAAAATTGGGTCACAAATTGTATACGATTTCTTACCTTTAAATTGTGTTGGTTCTTTATCAGTCTGTTGACAGCGTTTATTAAATGCTCACGACTCTCAACATTCGTAATTTTTAGGCCGGAGAGGTGTATCCTCAGCTTCGTGAGCTTTGCGTCATGCAACAGTTCAACGAATTTCATGAAGTCTTGGACTACCTCCCTTGAGATACTCATCAAAGACATAACACCATTGAAATCAATGTCCACCTTTTGCAGGTAATTTGGAAATCGTTTTGCGAATCTGATAGCGCACTTTCCTAATTGTAAATAAATTTAAAGATGCCCATTGAAAAAATACACTAGACTATGTTGACGTGATGCAAAGGACATTGGTGGACAATGGTGCCAACACAAACATAATTATTATGACAGTTGTAGTTAAACAATTAATTATGAATATTGAAAAATTTAAACGTCCTTGTAAGGGGGCCGACTGAGCAACTACAGGAAAAAAAATGACCTTTGGGTGTTCGAAAGATTTTAACTTTTTCAATCCAAATAGCTGGTGGTCTCAAGTTCAATCACCACCAAAGCCTAGAAAAAGAAATTGAACTCAGCCCTGGCATCCCAGGTGGATGGGACGCGTTAACCTTGTATGTCAACTGATCTAAGGGTTGGCGAACTCTGAATTTCAAACCAGGAGCCAGAATGAGCAATAAATTGGTTGTGGACTCTCACAATATAGAATCAAAGAGAGAATAAGACGATGCTCTACGACCAAGCTATCACTTAGCCTCACTTCCACGACCAGGCGTAATATTTATTGGTCCATAGCACTGCTTCCAATTGTACCGCCATCTTATTTGTTATAGAAGCATAAAAGTTAGTTGTTACTATGCGTTATTTGTAAAGACATGATAATTTCACATGTGTGTTAGTTGTACCATCAGTTAAGTTGTACCATTATGCTAGCTGTACACTTATGTATAGCTGTACCCGTACGTTATTTGTTCTCTTGTGTTCGTTGTACCAGTACGTTATGTTAGTTTCACCAATATGTAAGTTTTCCCCTACGACCCAGTTATGTTACTGTACCACTAGAGACTGGAACTGCTGTTTTAGACTTATATGAAGCCACTCTTTTAACTTCTAGCTTGTCTCTGTATTTTCTGAAATGAATGATCCTCGTCCTCCACAGCGCTGGGTAGTTGAAACCTTGTTCCCACGGCCTACACACCTAAGCAAGGAAAATAAAAATTGATTTTAGGAGGAAGTCCTGTAATCTTAACATGAATGTTTGTTGTTTACGCTAGAAATGTTCATGATCCGGTAGAGCAAAAGATTTCAAGATTAGAGTTAATTCTTTTGGAAGTAGAATATGTATTGCTAGCAGGGAAGATAGTTTTTCCCCCAAAATTTCTTGTATTATTTGGCATCAATGTAACTATCATCATACCACAGTTACAAATACATATTCGTGTACTTTGTTTGACTTGTGAATAACCATGACTGATTTGCATGAGAAAAAAATCACTGTGATATACTTTGAAATTGTGACCTTAGCAATGAAAAAGCAACCTGATAAATATCCAGCGAAGTATACTTCTATCCATTGATTTAATCATACATTTAATCATTTTTGTACGCATTATTAACTTAATTCACACACCCAACCTCTCATTCCTCCACTCATCTATCAACCAGCCGATACAGTGATACTCATATTCTGGTTTATGTGAGCTCACCCTGTCTATTATCCCAAATGACACATTGGCAACAAGCTCCATTTCTTCGGCTGAGCCACATATTTCTTTAGCTATTGTTGGGCTGGCCTGCCGCCCTGGCTTTTTAAAGTTCAAAATGTAGGACCATAAGTTAACGAGATTAGCGTACAACAGTTCCTGTTGGTCATCGTGGAATGCCGACAGTTTTGGTCTTTGTTGTGGTATTCTAGGCTCTTGTAAGCTAGAACTTAGCACGGTGGTCTTCAGTGCGTATTCGACTTACCCCACTGTGGTCTTGGCTTTTTTCTACTCCACGATCAAACTTGCTTGGAGGGCGATGTTAGCGTGAATTTCTCTGGCCGTTGTTGCCTCATCCACATTAACATTACAATATTGTACTAAAATGGTCCTAAAACAAACTTTTTATTTCGAAAATGAAGACTATTTTCTTTTTATGGCTGAACATCCCTGGATTATATTAATTTATCGTCTCGTTCATTGCACATATCTATCACTTCAAATGTATCCAATTGCATATGAAGATAACTTCTTTTTTTAACCCAGTGTTTTGTAACCCATGGCATCGTAACTTTTCTACTCTTCCTTTTTATGGTGCCCACCTTCTTGTTTCTTGTTATCATTTGCGTGTATGTTCTCAACATCGAGTCCCATAAATACCTACTCCTGCAGACCCATTTGTATCCATTTTTTTGTCCTGAGGACAGCCTAAGACCCCAAAGTCAAAATTCGTCTAAGTAGTTATACAAGTTCCCAAAACTTTTCGTTTTCCCGCAGCCTAACACGGATCTCTTACTGCAGGTAAAGAAGTGAACAGCATCAATTTTTTGATCAAATCCACTCATCTATCTATTGCTCATACAATTATTCACACTTTCAAACAATGATATTTAATATATCTTTAAATAGTTACATGCGTTCTAACTAAATAGTTACATAAAATTCCTTACCCTTGCCATTGAAACCCTGTCCACATCACCCAAGTACTTGTAGATGCCAGTTAGTACGGTCGCTGGAAGCTGGCTCCACGGTGGCGGTTCCGGTTTTTTAGCCTTCGTGTTGTCTCGCCCTGTCGTTGATTTCGTCCTGGTTTTTGATGTACGTAATTTTTTACGTTGGTTTTCCTTTTTATTCATATTTTATTACGGCTTCAGTACTTGAATCACAATGTTTAATATAAATTTAATTGATGTTATTTTAAATTAGCTTTGTTAATGTTAATAAGAATAAACTACATTAGCTGTTTAATAAAGTTTAATGTTGGGGCACGATTTTAAGAACAACAATGCTAAACAGTGCTACAAGTAAACGCACTCTTTGGAAATTCCCGACCAACATGCAAAATGAATAAGTCTTTTAACACAAAAATCCTCGTCGAAACAGCAAGACTCTGAAGAAGGATTTGGTCTTCTGAAGTCGGTACAGTCTTTCCAAGAAAGCGAATTTAATGCTGGACTTAAACAACAAGTGAGGAATAAACTGGGGAAAAACCACTGCTTGTCGAGGATATACCATTTATTTGAGTCACAGAGAGCGATTTTATCAGGCGTTAATTCACATGATGCGAGCGTAATGTCAAGAACAAGAGAAAGACTTGGATGAAGGAATCAACATGCTATTGTTCACCGCTAGAGAAGCAGTTCATTAATGACTTGGATTATGTCTACTCAAACTTTTGAAAGATGTGTACATGTCATCGACCTCAACTGAAAGAACTTTGGGCAATGTTTTAAAGATTTAACCAAAATTCGTAATACCTACAATTAGGTTGAATCCCGTGTAAAATATTCAATCTAAAGTTGTATTATGATTTAGACAGTTTTCTTTTTTAGATAAAGGACAGACACTGTATGAAGCTTTCGTTACAGGACAGGCACTGTAGGCTACTTTCGATACAGGACAGGCACTAAAGGCTTCTTTCGATACAGGACAGGCACTCTAGGCTACTTTCGATCAAGCAGAACAAAGATTTTGCAACAAAAAGAGCATTGTGGAAGGCCGAAGATGAACCAGAGGCCAGGTTTCACTTGCAAGAAATGTTGCAAGAAATGTAGGTCTTCTTTAAAGAAAATATGAGTGGACTCTTTTGTTGTGTTTGTATATCTTCTGCCGGCGTTTTCTTAATTTCAACCTTAATTTCTTTTCTTTCATCGAAGGACACTGGACCTGCCAATCTGTTGATTTCGATTTTATTTAAATTTGGATCTATAAGTCCTTGTAACGGTATTCAGACAAAGTGTCTGTCACTGTAAGAACATGTAACAGTATGCACTATGCATAAATCCTGTCTTTGTCTCTAAGACCATGTAACAGAATATAGAAAAAACTGTGTCTGTAAGACCATGTTATAGTATGGTGACCGTGTCTGTAAGACCATGTTATAGTATGGTGACCGTGTCTTTAAAACCATGTTATAGTATGCAGACTCTGTCTGTAAGACCATGTTATAGTATGGTGACCGTGTCTTTAAAACCATGTTATAGTATGCAGACTCTGTCTGTAAGACCATGTTCCAGTATGGAGACCAACTGTGTCTGTAAGACCATGTTATAGTATGGTGACCGTGTCTTTAAAACCATGTTATAGTATGCAGACTCTGTCTGTAAGACCATGTTACAGCATGGAGACCAACTGTGTCTGTAAGACCATGTTATAGTATGGTGACGTGTCTTTAAAACCATGTTATAGTATGCAGACTCTGTCTGTAAGACCATGTTACAGTATGGAGACCAACTGTGTCTGTAAGACCATGTTACAGTATAGAGACCAACTGTGTCTGTAAGACCATGTTACAGTATGGAGACCAACTGTGTCTGTAAGACCATGTTACAGTATGGAGACCAACTGTGTCTGTAAGACCACGTTACAGTATGGAGACCAACTGTGTCTGTAAGACCATGTTACAGTATGGAGACCAACTGTGTCTGTAAGACCATGTTACAGTATGGAGACCAACTGTGTCTGTAAGACCATGTTACAGTGTGGAGACCAACTGTGTCTGTAAGACCATGTTACAGTATGGAGACCATCTGTGTCTGTAAGAGCATGTTACAGTATGGAGACCAACTGTGTCTGTAAGACAGTGTTTAAGCATGTAGACAAAAAAAAAAGTACAATCATTGTTTTATGAATTTACATAATCGTAATCACCTGGTGTGTAATCGTAATCACCTGGTGTGTAATCGTAATCACCTGGTGTGTAATCGTAATCACCTGGTGTGTAATTTTCTCATGGCATTGATTAGTCTCTTGACAGCACGATACGCGCACAGTAGTTCATCGACCTCAATCTCTTGACTTTACACAGCAGATACTGTTTGTTCTTCTTCCATTGACATTTTACCCTTTCAATGAACTGATTCGATTAGTGAATCAACAGGTCACATTTGTTGTGAGTTTTAAAATATCTTTCAATCCTTTTTCAAACCAAATTAAAGATTTTATAGGGCACATATTAATAGTGTATGTTAAATAATAAATCGTTTGTATTTTCTATAACTCTAAATATTTTTTTCTTGACACTAGAAATAAAAAAACATTATGTTAATTATTAATTTTTAAACTGTTTACTCTTAATAATAAACAATTGGTGCTACCAGTTTCAGTATACTTCATCATTTATTTGCTTTTAAAATCTCTTGTTTAGTATCCTACAAGAAGTGGAAAATGTATTTATGAAGTTTTTTTCCCCTCGATTTATAAATCTATTCAGGCCACCAATCTATTTTTTTTAGTTTTAGAAAAATAAAATATTCATCTTAAATCATCAATTAACCAAAAAATCTAGGATTTTTTGGGGGGAAAAATTGTGTACATGTAAATTGAAGAGTTTCACAAAATACACTTTGTTTTGTTTATGCTCTTTCACGTATTTAATGCTATATTTGTATCTAAATATTCTTTGGCAGAAATTACTAGATACGGGTATGGAAATTTAGCAATAAATACGAGTATGGAAAAAGTAACACTAAAAATGGGTATGAAAAATTTAACACTATTAATGGGTATGGAAAAGGTAGCACAACAGATATGTATATGGAAAAAGTAAAATTTTCTACATGTCATGTAGTGATCACAGGATTTTTGATTAAAAAATAAAAAAATAAAAGAAAAAAAAACAATGACATTATACAAATGTTTAATACGTTCATAAACAATTATAAGTTATAACCCAAACATGACTGAACATTATTTTGTACCTTTTCTAATTACATAAATGTTGCCTTTTTAGTTTTTTAATGTTTATTTTTCTAAGATTTGTAACAGACTCAATTACAATTTTATTTTTTGAAAACAGGTTTTTAAACCATTTAAAGTGTTAAAACTTTTTTTTAAAAATTTAATATTTCTTTTAACGTGTGTTCTTGTCGCCCTAATCAATATTGTATCAAATGCTTGGTCTTGTCGCCCTAATCAATATTGTATCAAATGTTTGATATTTGAAAATGTTGTGTTTTACGTTCTTTGACAAATAATCTTGTTCTTATTTTTTTTAAATTAAAAAAAAAACTATTAAAAATTTGTTGTCTTGTATAATTTATCGATGTACATGGCATTCAGTTGATATTTTAGTGTTTTTTAATTCTGAAGGCCACATTTCGTCACCGTCGTGTCAATCAAAATTACACGTATAGTGACAGTAAACATGTTTGATTTTTATTGGCAATGGTGGGGGAAACATAAAGTTGTCTCTCTGTAGAATAGACAATCATTTTCTCAATTTACTGGTAGTCGTTTTGGCCTTCTCTATGTCCTTCTCTTGAGCCATGCTTGATGATGTTTAGAGATCTTCCTGTTTGAGCCTCCCCCAAGGCACACACGATTATGTTGAGAAGTCTTCAACATCGTCCAAAGATCTGAATAATACTCGCGCTTCTCAAATTTCAATGGTTGTCTGAAAGACGGGAACAAATCCAGTTATAGTCTTTTATTCTAAGAGGCCGTTCTGTAACAACTTTATTTTATCTTCGGAAACTTTGTTCTTTAAAATAATAAAATACAAATTTTAAAAAATGACAGTCATGTGTTTAGTTAGAAGCGGAATTCTGTAGATAAAAATAAAATTATACGCAAAACGAGCTTTATATAATAGTATAGCCCAGTAGGAGAAAAAAATATATAAATGTAAAGAGAAAATATACAACTTTATAAGAAGAATGTTTTCTGTCATCAAGTTCGTCTGTTAAAATTTAACTTTAAAAAAAAAAAGTGATGGGGGTAGGGAGGAGGGGGGTTGGACATGTAAAAGATATGTGGTCGTCGGCAACGATATCTTGATAGGGAGTTGGTCAATTAGCCGTCCGAAGATTTTTCCCACCCAGCCACAAATGAAAGCAACGTTAATCTATAGGATTTAATTAAACGTACATTAGCACAATTTTCATTTAATAATAAAAAAAAAACAACAACAACAACTTAAAAAAAAAAAGACAAACTTCATTACTACATATCAATTAGATAAAAGATATATTTATTTAAATAAATCAGTTTAATTTAGATAGATACAATAGTAAATGTGCGTAAAGCTTTACGCTCAGGTTTTAGGTAAATTCAGCATTTATACAAAACAAAGATGTATCCAAAACTTTAGCAGTGAATTTTAAATTTTGCTAAAATTTATAATGTTAACTTTATTATCGGATGTTAACGAAAAAAGAAGAAGTTTTGATGGCGAATGTATTAGGTAGAGGCATATTAAGCCATTCCCAAACACAAAAAGATCCAAAATATTTTATGGATCGTTGAAAAAACATCTTGATATTGTAGAAATGTAGGCTAAGGTATTAATTTAATTCTGCTAAATGCATCCACCATTTATCCTGCGAGATTCTCCATGAAATTTCATTGCGGAATACACTTTTGAAATGAATACATTTGAAGGGCAGTCTGAAAGATAAAATGAAAATGAATTCAGTTACATGGTGTTTTGGTCGAAAAGTCCATTCATAGTTACTTTAAAATGTAAGACAATAAAAGAGGGATTCGTGTCAGGATTTAAAATCTATAACACACAAATATTACAAAAATGTCATTCAACGTTAAGTACTTTGTTATGTGTTCCATAGTACGATACGTCTTTAGAATAAATGACATTCACAAGAAACTATGAGTGGATCGGTAGTGAGTTACATGATATGGTGGCGCATGATATGAATACAGCACTAACTTAATGGCATATGATATGCCTGCACCACTAGATTGGCGGGAAGTGATAAAACGGCACATGATATGGTAGCACATGATATGGTAGCACATGATATGGTAGCACTTGATATGGTGGCACATGA